ATAAAAAATAATATATATATATATATATATATATATATATATATATATATATATATATATATATATATATATATATATATATATATTATTTATTATATAATATAATATATTATATATATATATATAATGCTACAGTAATTTACTGCAGCATTTACTAAAGCATGAACAGTGATTCTTGGGTCCTCCTATAATTATAGAGGTATAGATGTATTAATCTTATATTATAAGCATTAATACATCAATATCCAACCTACATCCTCTCTCAATTGTAGGATTTCACAAATTCTAAAATATAATAATTTTTTATTATTTGGGGATTCAATATCCCAAAATTGGTTTTGAAACAAACATGGTTTATGGAATTCTAAAACCCAAAAAACCTATAATCCACCTTATATCCCAAAAAGAAGTTGAAACAAAAGAGATGATTTCACAAATCCTAAAAATATATTATTTTTTTTATAATTTAGGGATTCAATATCCCAAAAAAAAAGTGAAACAAACAAAGTTTAAGGAATACCAAAACTCAAAAAAAGCACTTTATACATCCCAAAACTTAAAATCCACCCTATATCCCAAAAAAAGTGAAACAAACACCCCCTAAGATCATCTTGTATGTACATCACATTTATCTAATGTCGAGAATTACAACACAATATCACACAAGCATAAGTAGAAACTGAATATCGGAAGCAAAATAAATAGACTCAGAAACGAATCCCACAAGTACTAATAGCTATAAAAAAATTCGATACATCAACGAGTTTCACATATTATGGACCTGTTTGTTTGCCTAAAAAAAATTAAAAATCAAAGAAATGGAAAACTATTAAATCAAAATTTTTTTTGGGAGTGTTTGGTTTGCTAAAAAAAAATTAAAGAAATGGAGATGAGTTGTCACCTTATTATAGGATGATGTGAGTGATTTTTTAAGAAAACTTGTTTTGATGTTGTTTGGTTGGCGAAAAAAATAATAAAATAAATTATAAGAAACCTATTTCTTGTAGGGGTTGTTTGGTTGGTTTTCTAAAAACCAAGAATAGGAAATGGGAGCATAGAAGTCTCCAATTTTCTATTTTCAATAATTTCCATCCCTAAAACTTATCCCAACATTCAATAAAATATTATTTTATCATCCAACTCATCTAATAACATATTATTTTATCATCCAACTCATCCAATAAAATATTACTTTTATTATCCAATATCTAATAAAATATTATTTTTATCATCACATCATCCAACTCATCTCATCTCATTTCATCTCATCTTTAAAAATCAATCACATCATCCAATAATATGGTGACTGTTCGCTCGGAAAATCGTTGCTTTCTTCATCATTGATTCCATTGCTATCTTGAATAACAGTCTTTCGGTTACAGAAGATCCGGTCTTTTTTAGATCCGGTTACAATGAAAATCAAAAATAAAGAAAATTAAAAATTATAACTTTTTCTCCTTCGTCGAACAAATCGCGAGCTCCTGTTATTCGGTCACTCGCTTGCGTGGGTTGTTTGCCTGCGCCGGGGTTGCTTGCCGTGGACCACCGCGCGATCTAGATCCGAACAGATCTACGCAGTATAACGGGTATTATTTCACTAAGGAAATAATAGCCGGAGGGATTATTTCACCAAGGAAACAATCGCTCGAATCTCGGGATCAAAGACCAAGCTTTGATCCGGAGTGTAACAACGTAGATCTGAGATCTCGATCCCCTTGAACTCCTGCCTTTTGTGATGCGGGTGCTCGCCAAGAATCAGATCTGAATGTCCAAGTCTTCAAGCCAACCAGATCTGGGCGGCCACCTCAGGGGGGCTCGGCCTTGGCCGAGCCACTCCGGGCTTTGCGTCCGTCTTTCGGTTGTTTCGGTCCTTGTATCCGCTTCGTCCGTGATTCTGTTATGCGGTTGATTGGTCTGAAATCGATTCGTTGACTTGATTCCTGATTTGGCAGTCTGGATCCTGATTAGGCAGTAAATCGGCTTTGATGTCTGAGTTCGAGTCCGTTATATGGTTGGATGACTCGTTGACTCCCTGGACCGTTGGTTTGATTCCGCACGCGAGTGGATTCATTCCGTCGTTCACGTGCGGTTCGTCAGCTTCGTAGCCTTGTTAATCCGCTTCGGTGTTGTGGACTGACGTTCGTGCTTAGATACGTCGCCTAATGGTTCATTAGTTCGTGTTGAACCGTGTCAAGGGACCTATAAGCAATTTTATATGCCTACAGATACCCCCTCCAAAGTTTTCCAGTCTCGTTCTTTTATAGAAGAGTCTGGAATACTTTGGATATGACTGTCCCAACCTTCAATCGGTGTAACGGGCTCTGATTCCTTCAGTCCTCCAGGCTGTTCGGTGGTTTGTCGAATGCTTGAGAGGGTTCCGGTGCTGCATTTATTGTCTGACCGTTGTCGGAATTTTGAATTTGAAGTCGATTCTTGATTTCCTGGCTTTTTAGCTCGAATTAGTTGCTTCAACATGGAATTGACCATCGGTTGACGGCTTTGAATCTTCAATGTGACGCGTTGTCCGGCGTTTAACACAGTTTACACTCGTAAGTATTTTGGAGTCTACACAGTTTAAGCTCTTAAGGAGTTGGAGCGGGGAGGTCTAGTTTATACTCATACACTCCTGGGAGTTATGTTGAGTTATCCTTAAGAATATTTTTAGAAAAATATTCTCCAGAAACTTCTCAACAAAGAGGAGGGAATAGTTTATACTCGTATACCTTATTGGAGTAATTCTTTAGGTTCGAATAATCTGAACCGGCCCAAAAAAAAGTGCCAAAAAGGCAGTATTTGGGTTCAAAAATCTCTCCGACCCTTCCAAATATATGGTAGAGGGGTTAAATAGGTGAAGTACTGAACCGTAGGTTGATCAAAAGTCGTTTCAATGCTTAATTCAACTTCAATTTGAATTCTGGTTCAAATTTGGTTCAAACTGGTTCAATTTGGCTCAGACTGGCTCATTCTGGTTCAATCTGGCTCAATTTGGCTCATTCTGGTCTGGTCTGGTCCAGCCAGGCTCAATCTGGCTCAATTTGGGCTCATTCTGACTCATTCTGGCTCATTCTGGTCCATTCTGGTCCATTCTGGTCCAATCTGGCTTGGTCTGGTTTAGCCCGGTCTGGTAGGGGTGGAAACAAACAGCCCCTAATCAACTGTAGGCTACAGAAGTATACTACATCATCGATGATAAGTATATACAGAAAGCTTGAACATGATTTAAGATAATTGTTAATGATAGTGGGCAACTCTGGATGGTCCCACAAATCAGCATCTCCTAACACTTAGAATCTCCGGAGAATGGAGTGTCTGTAACCATGGTAACAGAGGGATGCCTAGTTCTAGCAATGGTGTGGAAACCAAGACGGTCAAAAAAGCATCTAGCAAGTGATAAAATGAATGAGGTGGCGGTGCACATGTAGAGTGTATTATGCTAGAATAAAGTACAAAAGACTATGACAAGTAACAACTTATAATACTCATGATCACATGAACATTCATAGGAGAAAAAGAACTCAAATATTGATAAAACAAAATTA